AATTGATCAAACCAAAACAAATATAATTTTCACACAAAAATAAACAATGTACACATATTCTAGGCATTGTAAATATTAAAATTAAATCACACTAAAACAAATCATCTTGAATTTCTTCCTTACAAGGCATATCAAACTTGCTCTGGCCAACAGTTTAGATTAGCATAGAACTCTAAACACTAATAATCTCTAATGAGCTACTTCCCTGGTTTTGCAGTGTAGATTTGGAGGTATTTTTTAAAAAAAGCTTAAGTCAAAACAGGTCATTTTAATATTTTTTCAAGGTTAAAGTTTTAAAACTTTTACATTCTTAAAAAAGGATTTAAACTTTTTCATGGGCTACTAACTTACTTTTCTATATAGCAATTGGACACATACTAGAAATACAATTTGAACAACATGTTTCCAAATGCTCTTTGCATAGAATATTTTCTCCCTATCTGCTATGTAATATGAAACATAAGCTACAGTTTGAGGGACAGCTTGAAATTTTTATGAGCATTGTGCTTTTTACTTTACCTGACTATTGGTAAGTCTCATGACAATAGCGGTTTCTGAATAAGTAAGAATAATTCTTAGTACCCTTAAAATCTTCAATTTGAAAAATAATGCAGCCAAGTGTTTTGAATGTGAGGGGATGATACAATATATAAACTATACTTAGGTTCTCTGCATTTTCTTACATTCTGCCTAACAGAAAACCACTACTTTGATAGAATAAGAAAAAAATAATACTGCTTAACATCAATGATAGCTTTTATAGAGAACCTGAATATGTAGTTTACAAAGAGATCCGATGAATGATACAAATAGTCATGCGCTGATTTAAAAAAACATTTTTAGATGAGTTCATATTTTGTGCAGCATTAAAATGTTAATACAGGGGTGCGTTGTAGGGCTGAGGATTTATCATTTAGTGAAAACCTACAGAAATTAGCATTGTTATCTCACAGTGACATTGCTAGTATTTCAGCATTGTGTACCTCAGGGGAAAAACAAACTCAGATGGTAAAACTATACTCAAAACTGTAGTATGATTTATGTTTAGTCATGAGATAGTAAATTTTTTGTTTCACGAGCCATATATCTACCACATCAAGATGAGACATAAAATTCCTTAATACTCTAGGTACCAGATACTGGGCATTCATCTTCTTCAACTTCGATCTGTCAAGTATGTGATTCATGACTTTATTCCTGTCTGCATCTAGAATCCCATCAAACTTAGCATGTTCCAGGGTGAGTGATGAGTAGACTAACATTATAAAAGCATAAAGTAGAACACAACTATTTTATCAGAAATATTAGTTTTTAAATTTCCCATTCCCATTCTTCATCACCCCCTGACCATACTATAGAAATTAGAAAATGTATGTACACTTTTTTGTGTTTTGTTCTTCTCAAAAGATGACATTATATACAGGTATATAGTAACAAAAACTGACAAATCTACAAACATCTTGTTGCTTCAAATGTGACCTTTGTAACATTGTGTAAATGGAAGTGGCAGGAGCAACCAACTTCTCACTCACTAGAGGTCAGATAAGAACTCTTATACTTGTAAATAGGCACATGAGGTGAAATAGGTAATTGATTAATAATTAATTAACTAGTTAAAGGTAGGTATTGCATATTCACAAGTGGGAGTATTTAATGAAATTCTTGACATATACCACCACCCAATTTCCTCCCATTACCCCAAATACCAAAAAGAAGGCTCCCAACTAAGAAGGAAGAAGAACAACCCAAAAGGGACACTCCTTTCCTTCCCTTGTTGAATCCATGACACTACACCACCAATGCCCCACATCCTTACAAAGCAGTCATAAATATCAGAGCAATAATTAGGAAGAGACAATAAATCTCATATATACAACTGTG